GTGTGTGTGTGTGTGGCAAGATGTGTGGCAACATTGGGTTGCTAAAAGGACTCAGTACAGCACTTCGAGTTTATGGCGCCCGTTTGGGTACCGGTGAACCATATTCCGTATCACAAGGCTCCATGATAACGGAGATGCTGATTGAATGAAGTGTGCTAAGTATGAGTCCCGGGTTTTCAGCCTGCGCGCGCCTTCGGGCGTAGTGTGTACGGTGTCGGCGTTAGCTGCATTTCGTGAACGCTTCCTTGTTGACTTGTGAAACTCCCGGATATACTGCCTGGCTGCCGGAAAAATGCTGATGTTGCATTCCCAAGAAGGGGAGCTAGCACTGTAAAACCTAAAGGCATTCCCCTCTGTCCAAGTGCTGGCGCTGCTGGCGCTGCTGGCACTGGCAAACAAAACCCTAAACCCTAAACCCAAAGCCTTGCCGGCCTTGTGCGAGTGTGAGAGTCGAAACCCTAAACAGTCAGTTGGCCAGGCTTTCCATCCGCTCCCCGCCTCGCTTGTGAGCCAGAGAGGTCTCCAACCCAGGGCTTGTTTTAGGCTCGAAGATTGGGGTCTAATTAGGGTGTAAATCGGGTTGAACTAAGGTGAAGTTTGAGTTTGGCTAGGGTTTGTTTAATGGGTTTAGTTGGGGTTTAACTAGGGTCTAGCGGTATAGTTCGGGATCTAAGGGGTATAGGGTTTGGGGTTTAGGCGTCAACAAGATGTCACCTTCCAAAGTGATGGCCGCAAAAAGTAGGGCCTCGCTGAACCCCAAATGGGGTTTGCTAAGGTTGCAGGTGCGTGCAACCTGGGGGTTGCAGTGCAACAGTACCAGCGCGGGTGGCAGATACTGCGGGAACAGTGCCAACGAGCGACAATGCAGGGCCTGCTCAGAAATGCGTGAGGGGACCAAGGGAACGGCGCGCGCTCTCCCAAGCAAAGGCATGCAGGAGCCTTGACTAGGAATCCCTGATGAACCCTGGTGCCGAAACTCCAGGCCCCTGCTGGCGGGTGCGTCGAGGGCGGAACCAAGGCCGTTTCAGCTTCTGGCTTGGGGTTTTGGGTTTGGTTTGGAGGAATTGTTCCATACATCTCCCAGGGCTGACAATGGACATTCAGATTGCGCCGCAAGCCTCTACTCAAAGAAGGGTCTAGGCTTAGGGTTTCCATCAGTGTTGCTTTCTTTTGATAGAGTTTCATTAGGATTTCATTCGGTTGGTTTAAGAGTTGCGGGGCTTCACAGGGCCACGCGTTGACGGGGGAGGGGAGAGGGGGGCGGGACATGCAGGGTGCAATCAGCTGCAGGCAGCGATGCCCGGGTGGGATTGCCGTGCCCGTCCTTGGTGCCGCGATCGCGCTGGCAGCGGCCGGGAGGGCGATGACGCTTGACGGTCTAGAAATCCTTCCGAGTCCAAATGCTCCGTCTGGATCGAGGGTTCAGCATCGTAGACAAAGAGCAGCGAAAAGTAGCAACAGCAACGAGACGACGACCACGACCACGACCACGACCACGACCACGACCACGACCACGACCACGACCACGACCACGACCACGACCACGACCACGACCACGACCACGACCACGACCACGACCAACACCACGACCACGACCACGACCATGACCACGACCACACAACCGCAAAACCGCAAAACCACAACACCAACCACAACACTGACCACAACACCAACCACAACACCGACCACAACACCCACCACAACACCGACCACAACACCCACCACAACACCGACCACAAAACCCACCACAACCAAAACCAACCACGACACCAGCCACAACAACCACAACAACCACAACAACCACAACAACCACAACAACCACAACAACCACAACAACCACAACAACCACAACAACCACGACACCAAGCACAACACCAACCACGACACCAATCACAACACCAACCACCACCAACCACCACCAACAACCACAACAACCACAGCACGCAACACAACCACAACCAAGCCCAGGCATGTGCAGAGATATGTTTGGTCTTGTCAGTTCATTGGTGATTACGTACTTGTTCCAGGTTTGCCCGCTTCAAATTGTGAACCCTGCCCAGACTTCCGGGCAGTTGTCTTGCCAGCCTTGCACGAACGTGAGCGTCGAAATCTGAACTCTAAACTCCAGTGCTAACCTGACTTCTCTTCTTGAAGCTCTCGGCCCTGAAGTTGTAGGTGCAGACCACCCAACGTGCTTGCATGAATGCTTCTGCTGCTGCAATTCCCTGCAGGGTACAACCTTCTGTTCGTTTTGTTCCACTGTACGGGCTTGGCCCATTCTTTTTTGTACGGTTTTGGCCTCACCCCTGAAACTCCCGTTCTATCTTGTGTTCCAAGAGCCCCATCGCTTCAAACCAAGAAAGCGCACTGAAGCCCTCTCTGAACCCAAACTCCTCAGAAGTAGGCGTGGCTCTATAACCCTTGAATCTAGCGAATCGTAATCGTAGTCGTTGTCGGTCGCCAACCTGTGTGCTTACTCAGAAAAGCGGTTAGATGCCTGGAAAATCGCCACCCGGGGGCCAGCCAATTTTGGCCGAGCGAGCCCACCAGACGAATTTTCCAGCCACCCCCTCAGTTGCTAGGACCGAAAGAACTCCCAGCAGGCAGCTTATCGCCTCCACGACCTTCGTCCACTATAAACGGAATTCGTCCTCAACTTCCATCTATCTGCGTCCGAATGGGCGGACGTCAAAATACCATGTAGGTAAAATATGATGCAAGTGAGGTATGAAGTTCCGCTCTTGCTGGTTTATGTTTTCGCCACAAGGCGGCACCATGCGCATATGCAGGTTTCCGGCTCTTCCCCATGTAGGTGCTAGGATAGCGCTAGCGTGGCGCTAGGTATTCCTTTCCAAAGCTGACATGGTATGAGCTGAGGATGCTGATGCTTGCTTGCGAAACATTAGCCTTTCGGCTTGTAGGGTAGGGTAGCTGGCGTCGAGGGCATGGCTTGGCGAAAGGAGGAAAGAGTATACCTGTCGGGGGTGAATGTTTGCAAGTCCTACTGCGGCTGGCTTGCAACAGCAGCTTGTGTGATTGTTGTCAGCGGCCCCGCGTCGCAATCTCTCCTAGGCTACCGGTTCAGTTTTTGGGGTATGTGACCAATAGGAATGCCTGAGAGGCCGCTCGCCATACTCAGGCACTCATCCGTCGAGCCACCGCCCCTCCCAGCATCAGGTCCGCAAGGCGCATTTCCGTCCCGTGGCAGTGGGCCTTCTACCTGTCCAGCACCACCATCCTCAGCAGGGGTACCACAGTGTCTCTTGCACGGAGGCGCGAGTCCTGTGTGCTCCTCCTCGGGGTCGCAAACCGCACCAGCGTCTGGTTCAGCAGAAGCAGCGGTTCCGTCGTTGCCAAGTCCTTTCCGGCTGCTGCCCTATAGCCCTTTCACGACGTCGTTGGCGCTTCAGCGGGCCTCCCTCAGCTGAGCCCCCGCTTCCTGCAGAGAGACCTGTGGCTCTCTGGTGGCCACCGGTGTCCAGGACAGCGGCTACCGCCGCGGCAACAGCAGTAACAGTGCGCCGGGGCGCGCGAGCCTGGCACGCAGCACGGATGACAGCACCAACAAGCTGCGCCCGTCCGGCCATCGTAAGCTCCTAGAGCGAGACATGTCGAGACACTTAAAGGCTCTATATGCTCCAGGGAGAGGGAGAACTACCTCGACCTGCAATCGCCTGAGCCTTGAACCTAGCGAAGACTCAAAACCCTATCAGCCCTACTCGAACCAGGAAAGCCAGGGGCGCCAGGACCAAGCTGAAGAAAAGGCGGCCAGCAGGGCTTGGATTCAACGCTCCTAGGGTGCCGCTTGGATGCAGTTGTGGTTGTAAGGTTTTAGTGGCATTGATTCGGGGGTTCCAAAGCAGCAACAAGTTTTTTTTTTTGGGGGGGGGGGGGGGAGGGTGGAGTTCAGTGGACGGTAATTAGGGGTTGAGCAAAGGGTTCTGGTGGCTGTGCAGATGAATTAGGACCCGTTATACACTCATCTTGCGCAGAGTCTCTCAGAGGGCCCTCCCTCAGCTGCCGTGCCATGCGATGCCAATCAGCCGCATTGGCTGCAAAAACGATGCAGAGGTGAAAGGAGCGCCTAAGGCCACGGTTCCTCTATCCTACTAAGATGTACACGAAGTTTTGCAGCTGAGGTCAGATGAGCCTGTCACAGGCTACGACACTGGTCCGAAGCTGTTCGCTGCTCGTCTGCTGTATGCATGTGACTTTTTGGATTGCCACCGCGTTGTCGATGGGCGCCTGCAAGAGTAGAAGTAGGCTGGGGCATGTAGCAAGGTGAACCATCAACATTGGTGCATGCTTGTTTATAGAACCCATTTAACGAATGAACCTAAGGAGATCTTGAAGTACCCACACCCGGCTCTTCGGCGGCCAAACGCCGAAGTGCAGCGCAGATTGCAAGCAGACGTTTGCATCTTGCAGGGATGTGAGAGTGAAAGGCTTTACGGTTTACAGGGCTTTTAGTTTATTGTCGGGCTTAATGCTCAAACGATTGGGGCTTCTTGCCTTCTTGCCTCTGGCGCAATCAAAGGGCTGTGATTCGGCTGGATGTTCTGGGCCAGCCCTGTTGCCTTCGGGCCGGGCACAAGTCTTGCCCAGCCGTGTGAAGGGTCTGCTTGGCGGGTGACCAAGAAAGAGAGGGTCTTCGGTGTTTGAGCTTCACTTTCACCCTTTTGGAGCAGCGCTGGATGGCAGACAATGTAGGATCTTCGTGTGCATTTCGCTCAGAGGACGGAGTTCGGGCCGAAGCTTCGCCAACTGCAGCTTGGCTCAGATCTTGTTTCCGGCAACTTGCGGGCCTCCGTTTGGGGGTTTAATGAGGCTTCAGGTTTTTGAAAAGACTCTGCGGCGTCTTCACTTCGCAAGGTGAGAGCCCGTGAAGTGAAAATTCAGCGAACAAAAAAGGATATCATAAAGACCAGTGCCGATCGAGCCCGATCCTTGCATCACGACTCGGGCTTTGGAGACCCAGGTCCGAGAACCTTTTTCGGACGATGTACGCGAAGGACAATGGCTGCGGTCTGGCTGCGCCACAATGTGGTGTCAATCTCCGAGTGGGGATGCCCGGAGCAATCGTGCTGAGACCTCCGTATTGTATCGTCCAGACCTGATATGCCGTGCGTTGTGTGCGCCATGCCTCCGTTGCGCGCATCGTTTTTGTGCTTCTCTGCAAGCCAAGCCAAGCGAGCCCTAGTACTGCAAGCCCTTCGCGCCATTGGCCGGGGTAGAGCCTGGCTGCCTAAGTCCGGATGCTGCGGGAACATATTCCACCTGAGCGGCTGTTCTGACGCAGGAAATGTTTAGGGAGCCAGGTGGCCAATTGGTGATCTCCCAAAGCCCAGCGATGAGTTTCTGTGCCTCGAGCCCAAAACGTAACCTCAGTAACCTCAAGCCTGGATCACGTTCTGCATCCTAACCCTTGAAACTCAAGAGGAAAGACGTGCAGCGCTTATGAAACCTTCAAGATCCCTAAATCACGGGCCCTGTAAAGACGCCAAGCAAGGCCAGGAACGCTTAACTTCCGCGATTAAAACGGCGCAAAAGGCGCCTGTGCAGGTGATGGTCTACAACTACCAACGCATCGAGGGCGAAGGTAGGAATCCAGAAGGCCGGCGCTGGAGAGCGACTGTGATAGGGCTTTTGGATTTCTAGGTGTAAGAGCAAGTGCAGGCTGTTGTCGGGTTTCTGGGCTCAATGTCTACAAACCTTATCTAGGGCTATTGTTCCGGTCTACCACAGGCTGGAGGCGGGACTTAGGCTGCCCTCCCCTCGAAATTAAGGCACCAGTCCTTAGCAGGGAGAAGATTCTCTTTGCTCTTTGGTGTTTGGGGGACTCTGCGACCCAATGCCCAAAGGTCAGCAGTCCCCTTTGGATCCAGGGCACCTTAGAGGAGTAAGAGGGCTGAGGAAAGCCTCGAACACGAAATGCCCAAACCAAAATCCAATCCTGCAGTCTTGAAACTCAAACCCTGCCAAGGCTCTCCGGAAGGCAACTAAGATTCAGGATGTGACAACATGAACTAAATATGCGCTCAGGTAAACTTGAATGCTGTGAAAGCTGCGTTTCTTCGAATAAAAACCCATCTATCAAGCAAGTCTCAAATTCTCTTTCTCTAAATTTACCCAATGCTCACTTAAAAACCTTGGGGCTTAGGCTAAAATACAGGTGGGGTGCGGCAAGCTGGGACTGTCTCAACCCCAAATCCTACCTTTGCCTACATGCCCCTAAACCCCAAACCGTAATCCTTAAACTCTAAACCCTAATCCCTAAACCAGGTGAAAAAAACCTAAGCCTTAAACCCTAACTTGGAAACCCAGGGGTCGACATTAAGGTGAGGTGGTCTTCGTGAACCCCCGGATCACAGCGTGCTCAGACACGAAATGCGAGGCTGGGTTCTTCAAGGCTTCCTTTATTAGGTAGGGTTTGGGGGTTTAGGGCCAAAAGAGGCTTCAAGAAGAGTTGAGGGTTGAGGGTTGAGGGTTAGGCCAGCTGAGTGTTCGGGGTTTGTGAAATTCTGGCTCGACCCTAAACCCCCAAACTGGTCCTTGAAGACTCAGGACTGGAGTTTCGGGCCAAACTCTCCACTGCTATGGTGTCCAAAGCCTTACGTAGCCCTTGTAGCCCAATCAAGCCCAACAGTTTCTTAGGCCCACGAAGACGCGAAAGGCAAAAGCCACCAGTCGCGGTATCGCACTAAATCAATGCTGGGAGGCTAAGCTCAGAAGTCCTACTTCACGTACCCTTATATTGCAAAGGTCAAGTAAATACTTGACCCTGAGTGGGCAAAGGCGGTTGTGCTAGGTGTGCCCAGCCTGGCCCAGATAGAGTTATGCCCTCAACCCCTAAATGTATCGAAGCCGTAAGCCCGAAGAACCCTACAAGCTCTAAACCCTCAACCCTATGCATCCAGCCTGTCCCAGATGGTGGAGGGCTGCCTTTCTTTTCCGAACTTCGGAGCTCCCGTGGTGCGGCCCGAGTGGGTGGAGGCGTGCGGCAAGTGTAGACAAGAGCAATTACAGCAAAAACACGTAGAGGTATGGGCTCAGAGTAACAACAGCACCGCAATTGTCAGGACATGTGGTAGCCAACGTAGCCAAGATTTCCCCGGCATGGCAACTTACTTTAAGTGAAGTACTCTTAGTGGCAACCCAGAGAAAGTGCTCGGGCTGTTGCAGGTCCAGTCAAGTTCAAGGTGAGGGGTTTCGGCAACTGGGGTTTAGGGTTTAGGGTTAGGAGAGAGAGAGAGAGAGAGAGAGAGAGAGGCCTTGGGGCGGTCTCCCTTCGGGGGGATCATATTATGCGCTCAAGCAAGGTTTCGATTTTTGTTTGCTTAGGTTGTTGAGCCTCCCTCAGTGTTAGGTGCTGGCTTGTGTTCACACGGTTCAGGTTTGGGGGGGGGGGGGTTGAGGCCGGTTGATTGTAGGGTTCAAGCCATGTTCGGCCTGTGGCGTCCGTGTGCCGATCCCTTTGCATCCCGGACGGTTTTGCCCCCGGGCTTCAGGGGTCTTCTCGGGTAGCATGGCCATGTTGACCCAAGGCGTGTGTGTGTGTGTGCGCGCGTGTAAACTCCCCTGGTTGGAGAAAGGACTCCCTATGCATGAACCCTAGTTTACTAGTTTTTACGCGAGGTGGAGGCGGTGGACTTGGATGGCAAGCCGCAACTTGGATCGCGTTTTGCAGCGGCCATCTTGGGAAGAGGTAGCGTCAAAAGAGAGAGAGGTCCCTCCTAAGCCCTATTCAAGTATTCAAGGTCCTGAGGAGAAGCTTAGAGAGCGCCAACTGTTCATGCCTCTACGTCTCATGGGCAGCTTTCGATGGGCTTGACTACCAACAGACCCGTGCAGGTACACCAAGCGATTAGAAGGCCTGGCCCGCTGAACTGTGCGGATGTCTGCCTGGGAGCCTGAGAGCTGGACGTGGTGTACACGCTTAGAAGGTCTTCCGTCGTTCCTAGGGGCTTTCAGGCACGCCTCGTGCCCCTCCCTGGGATTTCTTGAAAGCAGGTGACGAGGCGCGTGTCTTCCAGCACGAGTACGACCATCTGGATGCGGGAAGCTCAGGGTTAGAAAGGGAGGTTCTCAAGATATTTCTGCACTGAGCCTGATGGCAGGGCATCGTTTACATCGATCATGTGACGGACGACGACAAGAAGGAGATCGCCACCAACCTCAAGACGCCTTCAAGCAAGACGAAATGGGCCTCGGGGGGTGCGCAGAGTCACGTTGAGGGTGCATGAAGGTGTTGCCTGGGGCCCTGGGGTGTTTCAGGAATCAGGAACCTTGAGCCTGGAATGAGACAGAGGCAAACAAGGCTACCGCCCTAAATTTCAAACAACGCTCACCCAAGCGATGAGTGTACCAGAAGAAACTCACACTGAAAAAGGAGCACCTGCACCTCGAAAAGCCTTGAAAGCCCCCCCTTGAAAGCCTTTGAGGAAGCTCGTCAACGAGTACACGGCCGGGGGCGGGAAGGACCCAAAGCCATAAACGCTGAGAGCCTGATCTTTTTTCCGACCATAGGGTGGTAGAACTGTAGGGTTGGTAGCGAGTAAGAGTTCAGGGTCAGTGGCAACAAGGCCCTTTGAGGTTCACAGCCTCCCCAGCTGCGGAAGGGCAACTTGGAGGTGCAACGTCTCACTCACCCAGTCTGGGTGTCGTCGAAGGAGCGTCGGGGGAGTCGCTGGCTGGGAAACCTACTGTTTTGATCGGTTTGGCCTCTCTGGCTTCGTGAATGTTGCGTTCTATTGCGGTCTGTTTCTTTACTCGGCTGAAGGGTTTCCCAGCGATGTTCCAAAGCCCAACCCCCGGGAGGAGGCAAGCGCCTTGTCTCCATGCATCCCACACCGCAGCCCGCGCCGCTGAGAAAGGGAGCTGCAATGTGAAGCTCGGAATTTCTTTTGCCCATCAAGCAGTGAAGCTATGCCAATGCCAAGAAGGCGACACATACGAGTGGTCGCTCACAACGCGTGAGATCCCTGCTCGCGAGCTTTGCCTGCCAGCAGCTTTTCAATCCTCGAAACTGTGCTTTAGACAGCACTCAGCTGAGCGATGAGAAAACCCCCATGGTCCCTCCTCAGCTCCAAGCTCAGATCCTCATAGAAAAACACCCCGAGGCCAGCTTTCAGGGCATCTCAAAGCCGCTGTATTCTAGGCTGCTAAACCATTCACGATGCCCGCCATGTCCAGCTCACACCGAATGTCCGACGACAAAGGCAGGGCGGGGGCCGTGATCTTCATGGCAAGGCTGCAGGTAGCTTCGCCCCCCTTCTCCCAGCTCATTGTGTCTCGCGAGATCGTGTGCTGGGCCTCACCGATCGCATCGCCAGCTGCGGCCAGGCCTTCGCCGGTTTGAGGGCTGAGGGTCCCGGGGCTTGTTTCAGATTCAGTAGTGTTGCATTGTCTTTACTATGCCCCCCCCCCCCCCCAAACAAAATGGGGGGGGGGGGGGGTGCAACCTTCCAGCCTTTAAGATTGGCCCTCAGGACCTCAAGCCTTACTGCGTAATCCCTGAACCCAAAACACAAACCCTCAAAAAAAAGCCGTCCGGAAGAACCTTTGATAATAACGGGTACCTCCAACAAACTCGGTTCGCAGAATACATTTTGGAAACTTGTGATTATAGACCCTCCTCACACTAAAGTCAGTCCAACATTACCTATCAAAGCGGGTGGCAGCGAGGGCTGGTTTGTACCAGCAGGCTCGGATGGATTGTCGGGGCCAGACCACTGGACTTAGGCTTTCAGGTTATCGGCCTCATGCCTGTGAAAGGGGTCCTATGGGCACCTTGCTACAAGGTTGGTCCACCGAGGCTGTTCTGTGAGATGTGTTGAGAAGCGCTTGAGGGTTCCGGCTTGTCGCACCAGTCCTAGTCCAAAAACTTAGAGAATCATCTCAACCCCTACACGCGCGCACATGCCAACATGGTTGTGCAAGGGCTGCCAGCTTTGGGCTCAGAAACCCAAAGCTTGCAAAACCCAACGCATCAGCTCCGATGCCTGCCCCCACCGCCCCCCCACCCCTAAACTCGAAACCCTAAACCACCAAACCCTAATCCCCAGCCCTAAGCCCGAAACCCTAAACCACCCTAAACCCTGATCCCCCAGGCATTGCAGGAGATACTCGCGACGGCAGGGTGCTCGGACCGAGCCATAGGGCGAGGGGGTGTCCCAGGGCGTTTGGTCGCGTGCTGTCGTCTAACAGGCTGCTGCGGTGTCTGTCTGTTTGTGTGTTTGTGTGTGTGTGTAGCAATTGCCACCCACAGCCCTCCCAACAGAGGTAGGCCGTAGGCCGCAGGCGAAGCAGGCGAAGCACCAGCTGTTGAACTTCGACTGGAAATATCTCCAGTTAGATGCAGGCTTTGCAGTACATCCTCCTGTCCACGCTAACTTTTCTTCGCCGACATGACATGCACGACATTCCGAGGCTTCGCTGTCCCGAGAGGCTGTTCAGCACAAGTTGCCCCTCTCTATAGACAAAAACAGTACGTACCTAGATATATATTATCTATATCTATATATCTATATATATATATATGTGTGTGCGTAGGTGCATAAGCGGAGGCTCATTCAAACTTTAGTCTTCATAATGAGAGCCAGCCGAGATTCCACCGACGCCCTCAATGCCCGGAGGGCAGGCTGGGAGACCCAACCGGGTAAACCAGTAGTCAAATGAGCTCATAACCACGAGGTATGGTTTAGCATTTAGGGTTGTTCCCTCCCTGGGTTCAGCATCGTCGCTGTAGCAACGGTGCCGCTGGTTCCCGGAGCATTGGACTTGTTGGGACTTCGGGGTTGAATGATGCTGTCTGGGCTACGGGCCTTTCGGCTTCGGATCGGCGCATCGGCTTGTCACAATGGCCTCAGCACAACATGTTGCGTGTTTTGGACATTCAGTTGGGGCTTTACTTAGATATGGTTTTCCCGGGTTTGGAGTTTGGGTTTCAACAAGGGTCTATATAGGGTTTAGGGTGGCCGGTAGCTCTGCCATCCTGAGGCCTGCGCAAAGAGACATCCCTGGGCCCAATTCGGAGGTGTACTAACCCTGAGCCCCAAAGACCGAAACTGCAATTGCCAAGAGGCCGAAGCCAGCATGCTCCGGCACCACTTGGGCGCTTGTGCCAAGTTGCGGGAAGCGCGCCAGATCTGCATGGACCTGAAGCCGGACCTTTGGGGGTTGGGTGGGGGGGGGGGGTGGGTGGGAGGTGGCTGCCACAACCAGAGAGCTTGTGATGTCACAATTGATGTTGCTTTGAGGGCAAGGCAGAAACCGAAACATCATAACTGCTTCGTATGTTGGTCATGATTGTTCGGAATGGGGTGTAAGGTTTCGAAACTTGCTGCCCTCGAAGCCGTCCACCCTAGAACCTAAACTCAAAGTCCCCAAAACATTCCCACAGCTACCCCAAGTCTCCAAGCCCCCTGCACAATTCCAGTGGGCTGTTCTTTTATGTAAACCGCTGCACAGAACGCAGTTTTTGTTTTGAAGTTGTTGCGCATTCAGGGCGAAACCTGAAACCCCAGCAGAAGGCGAGCGAAATCACAGCTTGGGCGCCTTTCAACTTGCAAAAGTGTGTGGGTTCTTGTGCTGAACAGTTCAATTGTGAGATAGTTATGATGCTCTTCAGACTTCTAGACATACTAAAACACAGGTTGCTTTCCTTGATTCTCTCCATTTTTGGTCGCATAGCCAGCACCTGAAGCCGTTGTTTCGACAGGAGCACTTTGTGGCAGGGTGCCCTAGGAACCCCGAGTATAGTTTGGGGAATAACAAGGCCTTGTGAAGTTGAGTTGGGCTACTGCGTGCAAGTGCTTCCCTTGCCGAGCAGGGAAGCTGCACATGTTGTGGCTGGTCGCGCAATTAGGAGAACAAATTCGAGTCAGTGGATGGGCTGCAGGTGGAGTGGACGGTCCCTAGGAGTTCCCGCTTTCTTTTGCATAGGTCACTAGGTTCCCTTGCACACTCCTCTTAAACAAGCAGGCTCTCTCCAGAGCGTCTGATTTTGAAGCCCGTGCTTTTGAAAAGGGCGGAGGTGCTAGAGATCCAAAAGATTGTTGGTCCTTGTGAGCACCAATGTCAACCTCAAAGCCGATTCTAAACATGACCGGCGGAACAAGGACGCAGCGCGTACTCGTAGCTTATCTTATAGCTGCCCAAGGCCCCGACCCCAAGCAGACCAGATTCCGACGTGCCATCGAGGTTGTGCCTGGAGAGAAGATCTACATCAGTCCCAGCGTCGTCCCTGGCCCAGCAACCCTAACAGGCCATTCCTACATCCGACCCTCTCAGCCTTCCAACGCCTCCAGACATCAAACATGATTGCCGTGCCTTACCTACGCCTGTTGGAGCTGCGAGGGATTCAACATGGTTGACAGGCTGCTGGCCACAAAGCAACATATTCTGCCAAGTGAACCATGAATCATCACAGCTGGCCACTTCTTCGCTGCTGCATGGTTGAATGGTTTTAGTAGCTTCGCCTGTGATGCGAGAGAGAGTGAGAGTTAGTCGGAGCACTTCGCTTTAAGTTATCAGTGGATGCAACCAATTGCGCTGGATGAACTGCGCGACTGCGCGGACGCTGAAGGACTAAACATTGGAAGCCCGCCCGCTTGTGTTGAGAGAGCGCAGCTCCCCGAAAACTCTAACTCTAACCCCAAGCCCTAATAAAACGGTGGGCATAAAGCTTTCTCTCCGCGAGGCCAACACCTGGTGAGCCAACCCTGTGTCCGAAGCCCTTTCCTGAGGTGCCCCTTCTCCTCTCGACGCGGCCACAGCAGCTGTCGTCGGAGGCCCTACAGCTGGCTGGCACAGGCTGCGGAGCGGGAAGGAGTGCTTTCCTAAACAGCATGTAAGACTTTGTCTGCTTTAACTCTTAGTTGTGGGATCAGAAAGGGTAGAATTCCTCAGAAGTTGAAAAGACGGGGGAGGGCGCACAGCGGAGGTGTCACATCAACCATCCCGATTGTGTGCCGAGTTGAAGTAGCAGAGGACAGCCGAAGCAGAGATAGCACCATTTGCGAACCCAAGCCCTGTATTCATGCAAAGATCTCTTGCGGCCTTCCCAACAAGATTCTTCGAGAGAGAATATCTTAGAGGCACCCAAGACACACCTTCGCCTCTTTGCCCGAAACACGGAAGTTGACTTGTTGTCTAGGCGGGCTCGGGAGGGCTGAGGAGGGCTTCGAGGCGCTTGCTTCTTCGAGCTCTTGCAGACAGGGCTCAAGCCGAAGGCAAAAGTTTCGCACTATCCGCCGCCTTCTCCCTTTGTCTGGAGCTCAGCTCAGGCTACACTTTGAAGGTGTGCCCCAGCCTTGGGTAAAAGCCCTAAGCGGAATCCTCTGGTTCAAGCGAGCTTTGAGCGATCCCTCAAGCCAAGATAGGCAAACTCGACACCGTGTAAGCTAACCATCTGGGGTCGAGCCCAACAGTAACAGCACTACACCCGATGAATAAGCCTTATACCAGACCTAATGCGTTCTCTCCTTCCCTCCCAACGATATAGCATACCGCCCCTGTCTAGGGTTCAGAAGGCGCTGAGTGCCTTTGGGTGTTTAGGATTTATAGGGTGGGGCTTTGGGATTACTGATCTCAAAGGAAAGCTCTCAACCACGCCGTCCCAACATGGGAGGGGGGGGGGGGGTTGGGGGATACTGTTGGGGGAGAGAATGCAGGACGCCTTTTTTTAAAGCAGTCTTCTGAAAAAATATGGTCCCAATTTAGCAACGGGGTTAAGGCCTAGGAACTAGTGACCATAAATCAACCCTATGAATCAACCCTTTATGTCCCCTCATAATAGGCCCAGAAGCCTGAAACCTTGCCTCAACGCACCCTGCCTGCTACAAGCCCGGGAGAGGACACAAGAAATCATGGCAACTCGTAACCCTAAACCCTAAACCCTAAACCCTAAACCCTAAACCCTAAACCCTAAACCCTAAACCCTAAACCCAAACCCCAAACCCCAAACCCTAAGAATCCGGAGCTCCAACTCCCAGCGCCTCTCAGGCCCACCATGGCCTTGAAGCAGGACTTGGACAAGATGAAGCTGAGCAAGGCCGGCGTCCCAGCAGAAGTTTCAGGACTACGGGGCGGGGGGGGGGGGGGGGGGGTCGAATCTTCTGTTTGTCGTGGTGGGGGGGCGGGGGGGGTTTACAGTTTACAGTTTTAAGGGTACTTAAACTCAATAAGGAAAAACAATCTAAATTTATAATACTCTCCCAACCATGAACTAGATCTGGCCCCGAGAGCTCGCCGAGTCCTTGCACCCCCTGGCAGGTCAAGGAGATGGCAAGCCGAGCGCATGACCACAAGGACTCGGCCTTAACTGCTGTCGACTCCAGATGCCTTTGCTTCCGTTTCAAGTTCCAAGAAGCTGGAACATTCTAATGCACATAATTACACGGTAGAAAGGAAGTCTGGGTCCTGCGATAGGGTGCTGAAGTTGCAAAGGGATAGGCACAGAGCAATCTGCGCTCGAAACCTATGCACTACATGCAGTTCTGATACAAACACGATCCCCTCAAAGGGCTGTTCGAACTGTTTGCTGTCTACAGACTGATTTGCAGGATCGAGGTTGAAGGTTAAAGTGCGGGCTCGCGTGGGACCAGCCCACTAAAAATCAACGAAACCACGGCGGGTAGTGCTGTAACATGAGGGCCTTCACCACCGCGAAGACCATGGTTTGCGAAGCCGGCCGTGCCCATCTGAACCGTAGTAATTTGAGTAAACCCTAAACCCTAAACCCTCGGCCAGCTATGCGGGAGCGAAAAAACCCTAAACCCTAAACCCTAAACCTATATGTACAAGTAAGGAAGACAAAGGGTCAGTTTTCTTCGAGCACCCTCCTTAAATTTGCTTCATGGGCGCTCCAAGGATGCTCCCAGGTGTTACTCGTATTTGCCTAAAGGCCCCGCGAAGAAGAAGTTGCCCTTATAAGGAAGAGCCCTTTTTTGGGGGGGGTAGTAGGCCAAGGCGGGATGTCTCTGGGGGGGGGGGGGGGGGCTTTTGAGATTCTCCCCAAGGGGAGGGGGGGTGCCCTGTGGGATTAGCGGGCGGATGAGGGAGACTCGTCGGGATGCTGGGAACCCACAAACAAGCTTGGGGAGCAATCATAATGAAACGCACTAATTCACCCTAAACCCTAAACCCTAAATAACAGCAACCTGCCGCAAGGACTTGATCCGAAAGTTCATCCGGCACTACGAGTGCGAGGACAGCCGCGACGGCAAGTATGGTGGCCTCAAGCTGCTTGGCAACAGAAGCGCAGAACCCATTTAGAGTTTGGGGACCTAAGCAAATCAAAATGATGGGTTGTAATTCGTTCGATTCCAGGGACCTTCGTGGAAGTTTCCCAAGTCTGCTGAAAGCAGTAGATGGTCGAGTTCGTGTCCGGCAGTCGGCCATCCACGCGGGTTGGGGGGAGCTTGGAGCACGCAAAGTTGAGAATGCACGAAATATCAGGATGCATACAGACATCGGCTAGCATTGCTGTGCGCACGGCCGTGCATTGTGTGTTGTATGTGTAGATGCACGTTGGATGATTGGATGTTATAGGGCATGCCGGCTACATCGGGGTATCTCACTTGGCTTCATGTGGAGCGGGTGCTCAGCCACTCCTTCTGCGTAATTAAGGTACAAGGCAATGATGCAGAAGGCGGTGAACAACTTGATTGGCACCATCGTCATCGAGCTTGACGACGTGGAGCGCTTCTGCAAGAAGGAGCTCCTTTCTGCTTGTCTGTGGTTTAGGGTTTAGGGTTTAGGGTTTGTGGAACTTGGGTTCTCATGACTCGATGCGATGTGCCGCTGCGCTTGTCTGCAAGCAGAGGCCTGAAAGTATACCACCGAATGCAGTCGGAGCCGCAGGCACCTGATAAACATCCCCCGTACTGTCCCAACATTCTCAGAGTCCCGTTGCAAGCCCTGGAGAAATCGAAGCAGGAGATCGGTCCAGAGCCCAGGGACCACACAGCACCCTGTACACACAAATCTTTGGAATCAACCCATGCTCTGAACAAAGCACCAGGAGTTGCTAGAGCCAGATGCAGACATGGGCGATTCGTGACGGCCTCAGAGCTAGAGATGCCAGAGACTGTTTCTTGCCATGGCTCAAGCTGTAGTATCACGTGTAGAGCATCGATAGCTTTGGCCCTTTTCTCTGACTCAGGGCAGTTTCCCGGCTCACACCACCTGCCTGCTTTTTGAAAGGGTCGAGGAATAGAAGTCCTGTCGCAAATGCCGTTTACGTGATGCTGCGCAGCAATGTTTCGCACACATGATTCAGCCCATCGTGCTCGCATGCAACTGGTGCTCAACTGATGCTCGTGTCGGGGGTCTGATAGCAAACCAGGGGCAGCTCATGCTTATCGGGGCACGGGCTGCTGAGCGCTTGGATTGGGTTCTCTGACGGAAGAGTTCAACTCCGAGAGTATCTATTGGGACGCTCCCCCTTTATACTAACGGTCCTTAGTGGGGGCTATAATGAGGGGTACTATAATCCCTATTAAGGACTCTTAGTATAAGGGGGAACCTCCCAAAGTATCTACTCTCAACCCGCCAGCAAGAACGTGTCTTCGAACCTGACATCAGGAGCGGACAGTTGAAACAGTCCATCGAGCAACTCGTGGGCGCTATTGAGGCTCACACGCCCCGCTACCAGCACCTCGGCCGGCTCTCTTATTACACGTAACAAAAAACGGCAAGAGCTTGAGAAAGGCTTGTTTCAGGATCCTGGTGTCAGCAAGCAGATGCATCGTAAGAATGTCAGGTATAATATTTAAATGGCATACATGTGTTTTTCTCATCTTTTCTTTTGTACGTTCCATGGACAGGTGCCAGGCTAGCCTGTTGGGTATAGACACAACTTTAAATCCTCGTGGTGCTGGTTCTTGGCTCCCTTTTGCACCCTACCCTGCAACAAGGGGCTTCTTCTATGAGATCTGCGATGCCGAGCAGCCGGCGAGGGATGAGAACTACAGAGCGGAGGGGGCTGCAAGGGCGCGCGACGAGCTCCAGGATTGGCGCGAGCGCTTGAATGCGCAGGAGTCTGGGCGTGGGGGTCTGTGGCTGATCCGCCTCGCTAGTTTCGTTTTTCATGCTTTCCCTCCGTTCCACTCCCGACCCCTTCCAACCCCTCCCTCGCTCGCCTCTCCCTTTCCCTCTCCCTCTGACTCTGTCTTCTCTGTCTGTGTGTCTATCTGTGCACGCCTTCACAGGAGGCCACTGGCGGCCTGGACAAGTCTATGGGTGTGCCTGCCAGACTCCGGAACCCTTGGGATATCCGGTTCAAACCCCGGGCATCGGCCGCTTCCATGACCATGCGCCTGAGTTGCAATCCGGGGCCTTAAGATTGTGCATGCTCCAGGCGCCCCCGGCAATTAAACAGTATAAGAGGCCTGCTAGCTTGTCCACAGGGAACAAAACGTGGGCTCAGACGAATGCCTTCATGCAAATCCAGAACTCCAAGTTTACCTTAATGCAGGCGCCAAGTACCCCATTCCATGCCATCTCTAGACTTGTGTAAACCCTGAACCAAAAGAGTGAGGCGACAGATCAAGGGCGATGCTGTCGGCCATTTGGTGCAGATGGACTGCCTGGTGGTCAGCGTGCAGCAGGTTCCTGGCAATCCATTCTGTTGTGTTTTTTTGTGCTATACCGCTGAGGGGGAAGCGATGTTTGTTCGAACGTGTTCGTCACAATACCCATAGCAGAGCTTTCAACGAAAACTGCACTTCTCAGATTCTACCTCAACGTAGTACTCAGGTCAAGCCGAAGGTGCAGATTGTCACCTACCATTGCCAGACCTGTGGTTCCGAAATCTTCCAGTCCGTTGAGGGGGACACGTACACGCCCCCGAAGGAGCCTGAAGGTGTAGGCTGAGGGCTGAGGGTTTGGTCCGGTTTGGTGTCATTGATGTAGGGGGCCGATTAACATCCCTCTTCTCAACGTCCTTTCCAATTCGTGCAAGTTTCATGTTTTGGGACTAGGCACGCTGCTTCCCAACAACCGCGAGAATGGAGAGGTGAGCCCTTACCCGGTAGGAGTGCCCCTCCGCGAAATGCAAAGAGAACAAGCAGTCTGGCAACCTCCGCCGCAACGTCCGCACGTGCGCCTTCACTCGTCACGAAGAGGCTTTGGGGGGAGACCGGGTCGGCCAAATGAGGGCTAGAACGAAGTTCAGGGATTGCTGGGCCTTTGTCGGGTTGTTTCTGACAGGGGTCAATGTGGCAAGTGGGTTAGGGCTCAAAAGTCTTCACACGGGCCGGAGGTGCAGACGTCTGTATGGAACCATGGCCGGTGAGCCTTCACACCCTTCGGCCCGTGATTGCAGACGCCTACACTACACTTTGACAGCAACATGTGCAAAGCAAAAGTGGGGTTTACTGCATACCAGATGCCCTGATGCCACGCGCTGGGGTCCACCCAGTTCGGCAGGCGCCAGAAAGTCCTAGCACTAAGCTGTGACCGCGAAGTCCCCCCAAACACCCCACTGCGTCGTCACGCAAAACAAGCCCTCAATTGGGCACCCCTTATTTTGTGGGGTTCAGGTTTTGGGCCTCTAAAGCTCAGATTGCAATATATATATATACATACTTTTGTAAATACATATATATATATATATATTTATGAATGTATGTATGTATGTATGTATAGGGGTGTAAGGATGTAGGATCAGCCCATGAAGAGGTGAAGGTCCAGGAGCTCGCGGAGCACGTCCCGACTGGTGGAATCCCCAGGACGATGACGGTGCCTTGGCCGGGGAGTTCCATATTCCCTCCACATAGGGTCAGGGTTTAGTGCAAAAAGGGTTCAGGGTTTCAAAAAAAGAGGCTTTAGGGGATCTACCATTGAAGGGTTAGGACCCGGGGTGGCTTCTCAAAGCCCGGTGCTGACCAAATGGGTTCTGAGACCTTTTTGGCAGAAGGCTTTTGCGCTGGTGGTGTGGGTTTAGCCGAGGAGGCGCAGGTGGGTTTAAAAAATGGATTCAGATCGTTGACTGAGGGCTTTTGCGGCCTAAGCCTTCGGTCGGACCTTTAGTTAGGGCCAATCCGTGTTTTCCCTTTGACGGCGAAGCTTGCTGTGGACTTGAGTTGCCTGCGAGAACCTGGGAATTCTGGACTTTGTCGCTGACGGGCCCTGACACAGAGAACTCATGAAACAACACTAGCAATGAAATCCTCTCATAACTGCAACTCCTCAGCTCAGATTCCTGGCATTCCTTTGCGCTTTCATGCGTCGAAGGAACCGTTTAGACTCACATTGTACATGCCACGAGCAACGTTGAGTGAGGTGCAAGCAGAAGGAGACCTCACGCGCCAGGCAAGCCTTGCAAAGCGTGCTTTGTAGGGACCCCTAATATAGACCCCCAAATAATAGTGGGATTCCCCAATAACAAGGACCCCAATAAGGTACCCTAAATTGGGAAACCTCATTTGCAGTTCATGGTGCGGACGAAGGTCTTAGGTTCCAAACTTGAGAAAGCGAGATCATCACCTCATCTGAGCAGATGAGCACCCCACATACCCCACAGTTGAGGACAGTTACTAGTTGCACCCCTCCCACACTCTGAGCCCTGGGCTGCGGCGCGATCTGTAGGTCGCCCCGGGCCAAGCCATCACACTGACCGGCGTGTATTACCCCCACGAGCTGCCCTATTTCATGAGGCTGAGGCAGGGGGCGGTGTCAGCTGAGTTACTGCATGCGGCGGACTTGTTAGTCAAACTTCATGAGCTTTCTATGCCTATAAGTGAAGAGGGAAGGGTCCGTGAGGTTTTTATGCTTCAAGGATTTAACCTCAAGCCCGAGGCCTTAAATAAACAAGTCCTATGAAGTTTTTACATGCATATTTGCTCTGCTTCCTGGCTTGCTGCCCACAAGTTACTAAGTGTGAAAGTCGAGATTTTCCAGGCCTGTAGCTCATTGCTGCTGTCCTGGCTGTCCTTGTTTTTCTATGTTCTATAGGGCTTAGTGCAGGGCATGAGGCTGCGTAAGTCACACAAGCAGCGGACCACATCCTGAAGCAAACGCTGCCGGGAGCTCTGCAGCCTTCGCACCTGCCAACCGCCAAAAGATGGAAGCCCCGATCGTTTGACCCTCACCCCAAAATTAAAGCCCTGCACTGAAATGAAAGCCTTTGGGGAGCCACTGGGGACGAGGCAAGCAAGCGCCATGACGCAGAAGATGCCCCGCAGCTGCATTTCGAAGCTGGGATGCTGGGTTGCCTGGTCTGGGCAGTTCACCAGAGGACGTGCAGAAGTTTCTCTGGGGGGGGGGGGCCTTCTTCTGAACAGGGGCATCACTCATGGGCATTGCTTTAATTTTAGTAGAACCCACCATACAGAACATCAGGAACCCTAACTTAGAACCCGTTTTGAGAAGCCCCCGGACCTTCTCAAACCCGAAACATCCCTCAGTCTTGCAGAGTGGCCAGCCTGCTTGGCGGGTGGTAAAATACCCTGAACCCACAGCAAAAAAAGGTTCATCGAAGCCCACCACTTCCAGAAGCACAAGAGTGGCTATGGCGAGAGCACTGCTGACGAGGAAGTCCACTGGATTGAGGGCTTGCGGTTGAGGATTGCTGCTTGGGGAAGAGGGAGTCCTGGTTCAGAAGGGTTTAGGGAGGGGGGTTTTCAGGGTCTTGGGGTTTGTCCTGTGTTTTGGAGATTTTCCAGGGGTTGCGTTTAAGGTCTCCAGGGTTTCCTCGGTTAATCAGGGACCTGCTGGCCGCTTCTGAAATCATGACCGGCAAGATCGGATCCGGAGAGCGCAAGAAGATTGGGCAAAGGAGAAGAACCTAACCCGGGAAGCCTTGAGAGCTCCTCGTTTTGCGGGCTCGGGGGTTCCAAGCTTCCGGCGGTCCTGTGCTGTTCGATTCGTTACACGAAGACCTGGATGACTGTGCGTCGAACTTTCCATTCCCGCAAGTCCGATGGTTCCCTGCCCCGTGCTTGTTCCAGGCCGCTGTAGATGCACAGCCTAGAAGAAGCTTCTTAAGACGCAGCAACGTTTTTCACATCCCCGCAGGGCCAGATGCAGAACAAGATCAACGAGGCGTTTGAAAGCCGCGGCAGCCTCTATGAGGCCCCTAAAGGGTTTGGTGTAGTTATGTGGATGGTTGAAGCTGCATTCGAATTAACAGACTATGTCGTACATGCTTTTGATTACTTAACCATGTACACATGCACATAGACATGATTGCGGTTTCGCAGCTCGCCACCCCCTCACGCCCTTCCCTAACCCCGAGTGCTGAGCCTTGCTTTTGGAAACCCCGGCTAAGCTGCAAAACACTCAAATAACTGTCGATGCGTACACGATATAACTTGCAAAGGAATTGTCATGAATCCAAAAAAACTCTGTGACACTCTGTGGTTGGGCACTTCAGGGACTCTTCTCAGTTCTGGGGTGAGAGACGGGTGATGGTCGAGGAGACTCGAGTAGACCGGCCGAGGAGAAGAGTTTAGCTTAACATTTCACAACCCTACAGCGAGGGTGGGCAACAAACAAACAACAACTGCTCCGTGAACTGCGTAGTCCTCCAGGTCTCTATTGTTTGTTTTGTTACCCGTTTTGCTTCCTTGGTTCTGCTAATCCTGTGGACTGGTCGTTTTTGTTGCTTTGTTGCGTATGTTGCTTTGCTTTTCCGAGAACTTATATACTTGCCCGGGAGGACTATTCTCCGAATCCGGGGGAGAAATTTTTAGTTTTGGCCCTGAAGTCAATCTTCTGGAGCATGTTTAGTGGCAGCACCGCCGACGTACAAAAACGTACAAATACTCTCACCCTCTCCCCTCTCTCTGTCCAATATAGAATCTATCATATATATATATATATACATATATACATATATATATATACATGTATATACATGTATATACATATACAGAAATAAGTAAAAATATATACATATATATATATATGTGTGTGTCTGTGTGTATGTATGTACATGCGTCTAATGCAGGTATGGATGGAGGTCTTGGCATATGTATAAACAGAAAATATATAAATAAGAACTATACATATGGATGTTAGATAATATATGTACATATATGTATATATATATATATGTCCAATTCAAAAAGCTGGTTCTGCAAGGGGCTGATGGAGGCGGGAGGGCAAAAAAGGCTTAAGCAAGCTAAGCGTCGTAACAGTGTAGCCGTGCACCCTCAATCGTAGATCGGCAACAACACGCTGGAGAGGCCGCGTCGAAGTCGATCGCCCCCGAGATCTTCGGGCATCAGGACCTAAACTGTCTGCATGTCGGTGCTGCTCGAATCCTTCTGGGCCAACCCGAAAGCATCTGAACACAACTCCACTTCTGAATCCTAAGCACAAAGCTCGCAACAAACAAGCCTCGGCCAGGTAAGTTTAGCTCACATCGCTGAACAGGACCTGAAGAAGGCCCTTCTGTTGGTGCTGATCGGTGCGCCCACCAAGCAGATGAAGGACCTTGTCAGGGGTTTCAGTCTCCCAAGCCCGCCCGGCAAAGACCTCAGGAGGAGAGTCGGGTAGCCTTGCCACAAGGGATTGGTTGAGGTTTCGAGCTTAGAGTTTCATATACGGATATATCTGCATATTTCTGTGTATACATTTCGCCGGGACTGGTCGTGAAGCTGACCCTTGCCACATGTGAGTGTGAAACCCCGAACTCACAGTACTATTCCATGGATTATTTGGACTGGGCTAGGCACTCCTATAATTCGCCGCTGGGAACCTAACTTTCGTGCCTCTTTCGCCTCTCGTGTCCTAAGCCCCTTCTCTGAGTACTTCTGCCCCTTGCGCACCCAACATAATGAACAGCTTCCTGCGAAGAAGCGCCTCCTGAATCCGGGTTTCGGGCCATGGGCCAGTGGGGTCAGGATGGCTTAAAGATCCGCGGGGACATCCACACGCTGATGATGGGCGACCCCGGTGTGGCCAAGAGTCAGTTGCTGAAGCAGGTGCGCGGTAGGGGATGTATAAGGTTCAGGGTTGCAAAAAGGTCTCATTGTAAAGACGGCTTTTTACATACCAGTCCCTGCTGTCATTTTTCCGTCTGAAAGGTGACCCACATCGCTCCGCGCTCCGTGTACACCTCGGGCAAGGGCTCCAGCTCCGCAGGATTGACGGCCAGCGTGAACCGGGACAATGCCACCGGCGACGTCACTCTGGAAGGTGGTGCACTGGTCATGGCTGATATGGGGGTGTGCTGCATCGATGAGTTTGACAAAATGGATGAGAGGGACAGAACTGCTATCCACGAAGTCATGGAGCAGCAGACCATCAGCATCGCAAAGGCAGGGATCACCACCACCTTGAACTGCCGGACGACCGTCCTGGCGGCAGCCAACCCTGTCTACGGGCGATACAACCCGTACAAGTCGCCGGTGGAGAACATCGACCTCCCCGCTGCACTCCTTTCCCGCTTTGACCTTGTTCCTAGGTTCAAGCTTGGTGGGGCCCCTCAGAGCAGACTCACTTTTCCAGAAAAACGAATCCCACCATTTTGCATCTAAACCCGGATTCCGCAGCAGAGGTTTTCTTGCTGCTTGACACCGTGGAGTGCGACAAGGACAAGCAGCTTGCCAAGCACGTCGCCGGCGTGCGGAGCAACTACCAGCGGCAGCAGGCGCCAGGGACAGCTTTGCGGGTCTGCGATATCGGCTCGTGCAGCGTCGGTTGAAAGCAGCAGAGTCACTCGACAGTGCAAGATAAAGAGAATCCGCACAAAAAGAGGCTCCTGGAGGTGCCCTCTTGATGAGACCCCATTCCCACCCCTTAGAGGCCATTCTATTCTTAACGGCCATTACCTTCTTGAAGCCCAAGATGTTCTTGAGCCCGCTCCTACCCGTAGCGGCTTTGTGTAGGCAGTTGAAGCCTTGCAACACTTAAGCAGCACTGAGAGTCCTGGGCAGGAGACTGAAACCAGGGAAGCTGACGATGTGCTCAACCTCGGGTTCAAACCCTTCGATGCTGGACGAGCGGTTGGCCGGTGTTTTCATGTGGTCGTCGATTCGTTGTCTCGGCAGGGGGCGGGGATGATCGAGAATGGCGGATGTGTTGGTACGTGTACGACTTTGGGAGTTTTGATGCCCCAGCCCTAAAGTGAAACAGTGGTTCGGAGACTGGAATATTCGGGAAGTCTGAGATATTTGGAAGGGTCCGGGTTTAACCTCCTTCCTGCAACCCCAAGCCTTATCCAACCTGAGAAACCAAGGATCACAAGTTCATGCGCGCATACATCAAGCCACTCGGCTGCAAGGGTCAGGTCTCCGTTTGACGCGTCAGGATAGCGGGCGGCTGTAGGGCTTGATTGGGCCACCTCTCCTGCGTCCTAAGGCCCCCCCCCAAACCCGACCCGACCACACTGGAAGCCCAAACCTGCCCTGAGGAAGGCCAAAAGCTTCGACCCCTTCTTGGACAAAGCCCTCGTTGGGGAGACTTTGGCACAGTGTTGGCCAGGGATGGTTTTTGCATTTTTATGGATGGGTGTGTGTGTGTGTGTATGTGTATGTGTGTGTGTGCGCGTGTACATCTGCATGTACATAGTAGGCATAGGGCATAGATCTGTTTGTTTATCTACGCACATGTGGTGCGCGCATGTTGCATATATATATATCTATATAGATACAAAAGAAACATTGCTAATATTCTGCCGGCTAAATCCGACCACGAGAGTACTCCAAGACCATATCAAGAGCACTCCCAACAGTTCTCCACCTCACTCTAGTGGAACGTGTAGGCGCACAGGACCCACGCGCGAGGCCTGGGCCATTTGTGGCAAATCCCCTTCCACGGACACACGAAGCGAACCCACCCCGACAGCGCCAAATCGCACGTTTGCCATGGTTACTCTTGAAGTTGGAGCCCGCGGTTTGTGTCTCTGTCTGTGTGTGTGTGTGTGTGTGTGTTAGCACACTGTTTTTGAAGGAATACCCAACTGTAAAAAATGACCCACACACACACATATATATATATATACAAGTACGCTTGATATATAGCAAATTCCAAGCCTACCATGGCATAACGAGTTATCCAAGTGAGAATCAGGCCTTGCAGGTTTGATAGGGTGTCCCCAGCAAGGAGATGGCTGATGCTTACGTGTCGATCCGCCACACGGCGACAAAGAGAGATGCCAGGGTGCACCCCACTATGCCCTTGGAGCCCGAAATAACCCCTGGCCCAAACCTTAAGTTTTTTGGGGTTCAGGGTTTTAGAACTCCCAGATGCATGCACAACGATTGATAGCTTATGACTCCTCAATCCCATATACCTAAAGCCGAAAACTGAAAGTAAAAGACTCAGCTTCAGAACTCTTTCGATGTCGATTATCTGAGTCTTCCGGCGTGGTTCGGAAGTTCAAGCGCAGCATTTCTAGCATTCCGATACCCCATAAGTACATACGAAGCCCCTCATGTCGCAGTGCTCAGAAGCATACTGTACCTAAGGACGGGGGGCTTAGGGTGGAACTACCTCGGTAGAATGCCCTAGGGTCTATGGCACATACCTCAGTTAAATTTCCCTAAATCCGGCATTGGAACCCCCGAAGTGCCACAATTTGAGACAACAATCTGGAACCCTAAAAACCGACGCCGAGCCCCTTGTCAAAAACAAGGTTTTCTGTTTGGTGAATCTCCTTTCTGTGAGTCATTGATAAATCCGAAGTTCGGAAATCGCACTGGATGCCCGGCGTGCGCCTTACTTGAGATTTCTCTCAGGTTGCTGAGACGTGATAAGTTATTGGGTTTAGGGTTTCGGGTTTAGATCTTAGGGTTTAGGGTTACTGAGAGCCGGGTTCAAAAAGGGTGGCTCAGCCATGACTTGTCATGGCCTGCTTGGAGAAGATGGGCACCCCAGGCAACAAACAACCATATCGGTGGCACACCTAACAAAAGCTGCATGCTGAGAAGAGCTGCCAAGCAAGTGAGCAAGTTCTTGCTTCCGTAGCCTAAACCCTTAGCCTCAAACCTTTGTGGTATGTCAAAGGCGTCGACCCCAGTACCTTGCTGCTGAAATGTCGTAAAGTTGGGCCCTGAAGTGTAGTGCAGTTGCCCGGCAAAAACCTTGAAAGATGGAGAACCTGTCGAGCAAGGCGCCGGTGTCTGTGAGACAGCGCACGGCCTTGAGAGCTGATTGTCCCTTGAAGCACTTCCCTCAAGCCTTTTATGGGGTTTAGGATTAGGGTTTAAACTTTCGTTCGTGGCAGGACACGTTGGGAACCTAGACAATCTTCGCCGTCCCCAGGTGATGACGAGAAGCGCGATGGCCTTGAGTCAAAGAAGTCCTACACGACTCCCCGCACCCTTCTGGCCATTGCGCGCCTCTCGCAGGTTCGCCCCAGACGGTTGTGGAAGTTCCTGGATTCTTGTCAAGTAGTGCCGAGCATCGCATCCTTGTTGGGGCGCCCCTCATTTTAAGCTCCTTTATTAACAAGAAAACCCAGTTTATGGGAGTTGGAGGTTCCGGCTCTAGGGTCACGAGCTGGCTACATCATTTGCTGAGACCTGCGTTATTCATGACGGCTGGCTCCCCCTCAACTCTCCCAGGATATACGACTCAATAATTCCTCACGTAGTCTCTGCCGTCCAGGCTCAATGCACTAGCGGCGTGGGGGCAAGTGCCCCCTCGATGGATTTCTTCACCTCTCCCTTGCAACTCGACACCCCACACGTAACAGCCCGAATCTCAAAACTCTTTCACCCAAGCCTCTCGAGCCAACAAGAGACGACTAACAGTGAACAGCGAACAACAATCCTATAAGGTTGCCAGACCCCTGTTCCCAAGAGCTGGGCAGGCCCATGCCCGCGCTCGCTTCTCCGAACGCGTGGAAGCTTGGTGCTGGAGGGGGTCTGACAAAAGTTGTCGGGCTTGCTGTTCCGAAGAGCGCAAGCCTCGTGATATTTTGATAGGCCGGATAGATATACATATGCATACATGTATATACACACGGATAGATAGACAGATAGATAGACAGACGAAGCAAGGTACATTCCTTACTTAGGGCGTTGTGATCCTGAGCTCTGGAAGCCCCTTCTCGAAGTTTAAGAGGACTTAGCGCGTTTGATTACAACACCCGACATGCAGAGACCTAGCATGACCAAGATGGGAACCAAGTCTTTTAAGCCCACGAAGCTGCAAAAACACACGGCCCCCAGAAGACCTGCTTGCTCAAACCTAACAAAAAGACATGCCCCAACAAAGTATGTAGTTAACAAATAATGCTTTGGGGGTGTCCCGGTAAGGCCTAAACCCGTGCGAGCCACAAAGCCCCCTCTCGTAGATCCTTGCACAAAGGAAAGGCAAGACTTCGAGGAGGCCATGCGCCTGATGAAGGCCTCCAAGGACGGGGCGCGGGGTGACTTTTCAAGCGCTTTGCATGGCCGGGGATGATTGGGTTTAGGGTTTGTAGGGTTGAGGGTCTAGGGCTTTTAAGGTTTAGGGCTTAGGGTTTAGGGTGGACGCTCGCGGACTTCAAAAGTCTTTCGGGAATGTGACGTGGTGTGTACCTTTACCTTCACTAAGCCCGAATGGGATGATGCTGTTGCTTTCGCGGGCCTGTGATGGGTCCCCCTTGCTATGTCACGAGTCCATGGCAGCTTGAGTCTCGCAAGAGAGTCCTCTGGCAAAAAAGGGTTTAGGGATCATGGTGTTCTCATATTGGCAGGAAGACTATGAGAGTAACGATGCTAGTAGTGGTAATCTCATCGTATGTTGACACGGCTCGTTTTGTTTTATTCGGGTTTCCGTCTGGGTTCCGATTCCTGAAAGCGGGGCCCACAGGAGAGCATTGAGCTTAGCCTGCCGGCAAAGAGGGGCGAGAACCCCATGAACATTGTGTACGAGCGCCTTTTTTGCAAGCATTGGGTTCTTGGTGTGATGTCAAAGGCTACAATCTGCGCTTTGTTGTTCAAGTCAGATCCGGACTAGGTTCCCGAAAAAGGCCTGCCAATCATACAGAGGCTCGGCATACTCCAGCTGAGGCTGAGGCGTAGATCTTCTTGGTGGGATGGACATCGGACATCGGTAGGAGGGTCATGTCAGAATTCGGCTTCCATGTATGAGGAAGCCGTTTGCCACAGACCCAACTCCATGAACGTTCTGGTATCAACTCAACAGTGCCCTGTGAGCCATGGATCCTCAAACGTTAACCCTCCCGTCCTTGTAAGCCCCCCAAGCCTACAAGATCTCATGGCTCTTTGTGCCAAGTATCGTCTCTGACCTCTCCCGACGGGACGCCGCACGGAAGTCGGACGGTTGGGTGGACCTTGCGCACGTGGTGTCCATGGCCGGCCACAAGGCGATGCCGAAGCGGCGTAGCGTTTTCAGGGTGAAAGCTATCACCGGATCCCTATAAAAGGCAGAGACACAGGGAACATCAGGGATTCGGAGTAGAGGACAACCCAGCACTAGGGAAGGGCAGCCGTCTCAGTATTGTCAGAAGAGGGAACACTGGTTTAACCTGCGGCTGCGTTCGCTCCGCAGTCCAGGCAATTCCCCCGCAAGTACTCGAGAGAGCCCAGCCCCAGCAGTCGGAGGCTCTGCCGGAGGAGCTGGTTATGGAGGCCATCGGTACATGGTGCAGCGTGTCTGCCATGAGCATCAACCATGAGAAAACCATGGTCCAGTTCGTCGTTCCTGATGCATAAAAACCTGAGCCTATGCTGCTTCTTGCAGCTGGATGTACAAGAAAAAGGCGCCGAGTTCCGTTTCAAAAGGTGTTTGAGGTGAGCGATGACTCATCGTTTTGAGCCTCCTGGCAGCGCGCAGCGCCGGAACCAGGCAGGCTGAGCATCTTGCGGGGGTGCAGAGCAGGGAATCGCGGAAATAAGGAAGGGCATCGTGAACCCTAAACCCTGAACCCTAAACCCTAAACCCTAAACCCTAAACCCTAAACCCTAAACCCTAAACCCTAAACCTAAACCCAGTAAGGGCACCCTTGCAGGATGGGGAGGGTACTTGCAACATTCCGCAGCCGCCTCCGGCAGCTGGGGTCTTGCGGCCAGTGGGGGGAAACCACTGCTGCATGTCCCAGCTGCTTTTGACAAGCATTTAATCTAGGGGTCGGAATAATTACTAATTACCAATAGTATTCCCTTATGGTCCCTTTAAATTTATACTCCAGTAACCCCCAAAACCCTATTCTAACTTTTAAGGCCCGTTTAGTAGTCATTTAGGACTGTATCCCAGAGCGGTGTGCCTTGGGCTAGCATGGGGTTTCGTACCAGGAGGACAACATTACCTCGATTGTTTTTTGAAGGAGTTAAAACTGATTGTGGACGCGAGCGGCATGTGCAGGCTTAGACGTGGTGGCAAGTGCGAGCACTTGCCACACTAGATGTCCGGCTGTTTTTTTCTTCGATGGCGAGGAGCAGGCAACAAAAAAAGGAGCGGAGCCTCTCACACTAATATCTGCACACCTAAACTACAGAATCACAAATTGCCCTCAACGTCCCCCAAACCCCAAATTTCCTAAACTCTAATATGAGCCCTAAACCTTGCAAAGGAGTGTGCACGCACGCCGCGCACGTCTGTAGCAGTTGTTTGCATGTACGTTGCGTGGCGGGCGCAGTGCTTTCATGGTTTCGGGACCTGTTATGTGCTGTGGTTTGGAACCGAACTCTCTTGACGATTGACCGAATCTGCGCTGCGGCCTTGGTTTGGCGCTCCGCCCTTCGACAGGTGTAGGGTACACTGTCTAGGGTTAAAAGGTTGTTCAATCCACCGACTGGGACTAAAGACCGGAAGCTTGCTTCCAGACAGACGAAGCCAGGCCCCATGCCTCCAGCGGAGCAGGCTTTGCGAATGTCGCGGCTGAAGCGGCGGAAGGAGGGTTGATGGTGCTTGCGACTCCCTGGTCTTCCCAAAACGCGAAGTTGCTTAGATGTTCCTGCAGGGGGTTTGATCTATGTGTACGGGATGCGAGGTCATGATGTAATTTTGAGTAGTTCGACTCCTCATCAGCACACTCCTCGGTTTCGATCGGCAGCACAATCGTTGCAACCTCTGAGCTGTAGAGTTATGCTTTCGTTTTGGGCGATGGCCTCGGCTTTTGGGCTCGCTGGTGACATCGGGAACTCTTTGGGCGCAGGGTTCTGGCTTGTTTCGGTTGGTTGGTTTTTGTTTTGCTTCGGGAGTTGTCTGTTGGGCTCAGCTTTGGACGGTCAATCACATGAGCTGCAATCGAAGCAGTTTCTCGTTCTGCTGAGAAGGAGCTGTGCGACAATCTCGCAGCCGACATCAGTCGAGACTTGACAGTCATACTGCAAGACAAGTGGGCACCCCAGTGTGTTCTGGTGCAGTTGGCCAAGCGCTGCCCTGTGTCATGAAGGTGGCTGTGGTCAGCAAAGGGCAAGAGTTCACCCGTTTTCGTTCATGCGCCGCGAAGGTGCATGAGAGCATGAAGGCCTCTTATAGGCAATTTCTTTCAAGAGTTCTACTTGTGAGTGTTCGCAGCACAGAGAATGGTGACGGCATGACCTGCACACAGCACATACTGTAGGCTCCTGCTCTTTGTTTCTATGGTGGCCAATCATGCAGATGCCAGTCCCCGTGTATGTACCCTGTATGTACCTGTCTCTATTCATATTAGTGAGAAATGCAGGTAGGCATTCATGCATGTATGCTGGTGGAGAGACATGCAACAGATGCCTTACCTTGCGCATAGAAAGCCGCAGCTGTCGATTGCAAGGTGGCATGACGAGCAAGCGAAACGGCCGCGAACATGAAGGGGCCGCAAAGCAAAAAAGGCAGTGCGCCATCGCCAGGAATTGCGGGTAGATAGAAGGAGCCATACATCCTTCGCCAGTAAACATGACAAACAACTACTAGCCCGACGACCATGGCATTTCTCACTACTTTTGGTTCCTTTGCAGAACAAGCCCTCAGGTCAAGGTTGTGGCCATTGCAAAGCCATGGCAGGCATGGAAACCAAAAAAAGCCGTGTCACGGAGGCAAGATTCATTTCATCAGTTCTTCTTCCTTGGACGATGCAAGGTGTAAGATCTGGCCAGCGGTGTGTTTGTTGGCCTGTTTGTCTGTTTGTTTCTTTCTTTGTTTCTTTGTTTATCATACTCGCAGAGAGCACCATCCATGCCCGCCTCAAGCCCCTCACAACCCTGCAACATTCTCCCAGCCCCAAACCGGAAGTTTCTGAGCCTGGGAACCCTAAAGTGGCCCTAAACCTTGGGATGTTCCCCCTTATACAACTCTTAGTACAAGGGGGAACATCCCAACCGAGACCCCACACCAAGGCTGTCCACTGGCAAAGCCTGACTGCAACTGTGTACACTGAAGCCTTGTCTGGTTCATCCGAGTTGTGAGCAGCCCAACTCTGAAGGAAATGATAGCCCTAGACCCTTAGAAACCCTAAATGCTAGACCTTCGTCATAAACCATTTCGAACATTAAAGGCTCTAAGCCCCCAGCCTTCCTTCACCCCTAAACCCCCAAAAAACCCAACCCAATCAACCCGAAGTCTCTCTATCCCTAAGCCCCTAAACCCTTAAGCATATAGATCTCCTACACCCCTAAGCCCCTAAACGCTTAGGCACATAGATCTCTTACACCCCTGAGCCCATAAACTTTTAAGCACATAGATCGCCTACACCCCTAAGCCCCTAAATCCTTAGCCTCAAAGGGGGGACCCGCCCCATGCCGCTCCAAAAACTCCCTACTTCCATCTGGCCCAGCTCCTTCGATGTGTATCTGCCACTTGGGCTCTCTTGCATGGTTTGGTTTCTGTAGGTAGCTTGCGGGGTTTTCTGGACTTGGGGTTGAGGGTGTGATTAGCATAAGAGGGTTGTAGGATACTGCAGGGATTACTATGGTTTTTCTTGCGCTGTAGGGCTTTGAGGGCTGAAAGGGCTTCGAGGTGTAGGGCTTGGAGCCTTGTCATGGATGATGATGTTGAGGACGTTTTCGCAGATTTCGGTTGGCGTCCTTTTTTTTTTTTTGGGGGAGGGGGGGGGGGGGGCATGAGGTTGGCTCGATGTTGAGTTCTTTGGGTTGCAGGGCTGCGGCCGTGGGAGGCTGGTAGCTTTTCACTTCTTGCGACCCCAAACCCTAGCCCTGAAGCCCTGTGTGTGCATCCTTGCCTTTCCTTTGTCTTGCAGAGTTTCTTTAAGCCACGGGTGCTGTTCAGAGAATGACTGTTGGGATTGCTAGGATGTGCGAAATATGTCCTTGACGGCAGGCATGAAAAGGCAGACAGACTGATGATAAGAGGAATGGGTCTGGCAACTGCGCATAGCCAAAAAATGGACTTCGGCATTTTCATTTTGCGTAGTATGGGGGCGAAAATGGGACCCCTAATATAGTCCCCCAAATAGTAGCATCCCCTACCCCAAAACGGTACCCCGAGTATCGTAAACCACCATATAGTGGGCACAGGGACCAGATTCAGGTCCTTCGAATCCTTCAGGGTGTCGGGCTTGAAGCATCGAATGGCAAGGGCTGTGTAATTCATGCCAAGGAGGAGGCCGCCGCCACTGCAGACCGAGAAGGAGTGGACAGCGCATCATGACATATCATGACAATTGCTTCAACAAGAGCATTCAAGTTAGCTGCTGCTAACTGCTAGCTCGGCGCACACTGCTGAGCAATATCGGGTCCACAGCGATGTCTTTGCTCACTGGGGTTGCAGGTAGCCGGGCGCTGACATGACTGAAGCAAGCCAAATCAGCACAATGAGGCCTAAAATGCCCACCCCCCAAAACCCCTTTAACAAGCACAACAACCGAAGCAGCCCGTCGCAGGAGTGTAATCAGCACCACTGCTTCGAACACCCGGAGCAGTCAGAATGCAGGGGCCTGTGTCGCCGCAAGGCTCCGGTGCAGAGCTGCCTTCACTTCTACAGTTTGGGTTCGTGTTCCTTGGGTGCCAGAATTCCCGAGCTTCACTGCAAGAGTCAGTTCCCTAAACCCTGAGCCGCTCGAGCCCGACAGTCTGCCCCACTCCCTCCACGTGCGAGCTCTGGGTTATGGCATAATCCCTTAAAAAAGCCACGCCAACCCCTTTCGAAAAACCAGGGGGCTCACCTTTAAACAACTGCCAGCAAATACCCTATCGCCTATCACCTTTAACCCGACACCTGCAAGCCTCATACAGCTGCACCTGACAGCCAGACGTTGCGGGCAGGTTGAGATGAAGCGCGTGGAGGAGATTCAGCCACTCGGGGCCTTTTTTTTAGTATGCAGAAACATGTTGCAACCCTGAAGCCCTTTACAGCAAGCCCTGGAATCTTCAAAACACAAGGGTCCAAAGCTGTGTCGGCATTAGGCCCATTAAGCAGGAGCCCAGCCCGCCTGAAGTGAAGCTGAGCGACTTGCGCCGCCGGCCGGGGGGGGGGGGGGGTAGCTGCCTGCTGCCTGAAGCCCTCGAAAAAGAGAGAGGGGTGGGCATCCAAGTGAGAGTCCGCGAAGGGGCTGACCTAGTCCACGAGAGGCGAGCCCTTGAAATTAAACAACTTTGAAGCCCTACACACAGTATTATAGTAATCTGCAAAGCCTGCGCGTCATACGCTTACACCCTCAGACTCTGTGCGTCCGGAGTGTCAGCTAGGCAGGGCAAGCAAACAAACCTAGCTCCTAAACCCTATACCCCGTGAACCCCTAAGCCCTAAGCCCAAAACACCCTGAGGCTGCGAGCTGCTGGCAAGTACCGCAGCTCGGCTACATTGTGGGCCCTGAGCTACCCGAAGTTTGGGGATTTGGGGTTCCGAAACGTCGAGCCCGCATGCAAACAAAAGGTTTGCGGAACCTGTCAAGGGTTTTGGGCATGTTCTGGGGCGTTAGCAAAATGACGTTCATAGGCGTCAACCCCAAGCCGCCCAAGCCTGTTGAGGCTTGAAAGGCTTCGCCCAAGGGCTCTGTCTGCAGGGCTTTCGGAACTGAATCGGGGGATTGAGGACCCCCTCCTGCCACTCCACCCCCACCCGTTCTTCAACGGCTCCCCACCCCCTCCCCATAGTTCACAAAGTTTACAAGACTATCCTATCCCAGTGCCTCAAACCCAGGCAGCCAAAGCAACATCCAGGCCAAGGAGGTCGAGCCGCAACCTCAAGATTTGGGTTGTGGGCTTTTCAGGTCAGTGAGTGGGAGGGGGAGAGCGCGAGATGTTCGGGGGCTTCTTGTTCAGGTGGTGGGGACAGCATTCAGTCCGTCCTGGGGTTACCCTGTGTATTCTTTTTCGGGGGGGATCTGTTGCTCTGCTTTGCAGTCCAGAGGGCGTGAGACTCCTGGAATGATCTGCTTTGTTTCCTGTGCTAGCGGAGCCATGCATAGAAGCATCATGAGGAACAAGAAGGAGGAGCAGAAGACCAGCTGTATGTGTTGGGGTCGGTTAAGGCGGCAGGTTGTGATGCGCAGTTGGCGGAGAGACCCGGAAAGTAGAGGCAATTCAGTAGCCACCTCCTCCCCTCCCCCATGATGGTGAGACCCTTCCCTGTGGCGCAAGCTGTAGAAGCTCAGCACCCCTACTGGCGGTGTTTGCTGCATAGAGTCTCGTTCAGCTGTGCTATTTACTTGGCGAAGATTTACAGGAGTGTTGGAAATACCAGCTCTCGGCCCATTTGTGAGTGCGATGATGAACACTCCTTAGGCGAGGCAGGGAATCTTTGGCTCCCCAAGAATGCGTGATGGAAGTCACCCAAGAGACGACTATGACTATGCAAGACGCTGCCCCTTAAGCGGGCCACTGAAGAAGCGCCTCTACAACTCTTTGGTTCTTGCGCAACCACGATAAGAACTTCAACTCTCAGCCCCTCCAAACCCCCCCCCCCCCCCCCTGCGCCCTTTTCTTGGTGAGCCCTTGATCAACGGCGTGAGGCTCGCCGTCCAGCAGAAGGATGAGCCACCTCCAGCGGAATGCCCCTTCAGGCATGGACATAGGAGTGGGGCTTAAAACTAGGTGACAGTGTCGAGGGGCCCTGAACCCTGAACCCTAAACCCTAAAGCCCTAAACACTACTCTCCAAGCAAGTAGTGTCACTGAATTGGCGAACTGGAAGCTGGTATCACCTTGCCGATCTTAGCCATACGAGCTGAGGAGGCCTGTATCAGGATCATGGGACAGTGTACCTCGCCTGGCTTGTCCGAGTGTGAGCGATTAAACCCTAAACCGGTATGGTGGGCGTGAGTGAGGGCTCATCGGGCATGGCCCCGTGGATCCTTTGGAGCTTGGAAAGATGCAAGCCGAAAAGGCTCGGACCCTACACCTTCCAGCCAAAAACCCTGCAAAACACAAGATCGTCCCGATTTCACGGACTCAGTTTTTTTCTGAAAACTTCGGCTACCTCTTTTGGCTGTTAACATGCCGTTGTCCCCCTGAGGCCTTGAAGCATCGCAAAACAACAGTCTTCTCAACACGCGAGCCGGTGTCATGCTCTCGCACCTTGCAAAAAGCGCGACGGCAAGCATCGGGGTTCAAGTTTACTCAGCAAAAACCCCTCGTGCCAGCGCAGCCCTCCAAAACTATCCGCAAAACCGCGACTTTTCGACATCGCCTCCGTCCCACTAAAATCACTAGAAGCAATGCAAAAACAGCTGCACGACGGCAACAGTGGGGGACTGCGCGTAATGATATTTGATAGCGGTCATTACTATTTTCTGCAGAAAGGGTCGAAGATTGACAAGATCGCACGGAAGGGTCCGCGGAAGGTGTGGCGCTCGCAGAAAGCTTTTTCAGGATTTCTGTCAGCTATCTATACTATACGCCAGTTGCTACTTCGGGACTGTATTGCGAACACCCGACATGCCGGCAAACATACGAATCGCGCTCCTGACGGAAGCTCCGCGGAAGGCGACGGGTCGTTTGGAAGCCAATGCCTCTCCCGGTTCTATGCTTCCTGACTCATGACTAATGACTAAGCCCTAGACCCTAGACCCTAAACCCACCATATATCAGAGATAGCGCCGAGTAAACCCACCACATAGCCCTGTACCCTTAACCCGTCACCCCGACCCCTCGATCCTTACTCCCCAAGCCCTAACCCTCTCAACCCTAAAACCTAGGGGTATCTGGACATCATACACACTCAGGTTGCTGATTTCTGTTTATGGTGAAGGGTGCCGGGTGGAGTCGCGTATTTCCGTGGATAGAATGCGTGAATTCGGTTCGCAGAAGATCAGAACGTCCATCGATTCATGCTTGAGAAAAACACTGCTTGGATGCAGACAGGAAGATAAGCATGTTGCAAAGGGTGTTAAGCAGATCTTTGGTGTTGTGGCCAGGGCATGCAAGATCGCGCAGTTGCGCCACAAGAAGGACACGATGCCGGAGGGCGGGGCTTTCGCGGTTTCTGGGGCCGTCGTGCAGGGTCCAAAACCAAGCTAAAAGCATCGTCAACAACATCCTGCTTCAGCCTCCAGGCCTGTGCCCCCCCCCCCCCCCCCAGTTTGCCCACAACACAAGATCGGGCTAGGACAAGGTTGAGCAAAAACAAACAGACTGCTGTAGGGCAAAGCACAAAGCAGGCCTGCAACAGTCATTGGAAGCCCTCTTTCCCTTGCGGCGAGGACGTCGGCATACTAGAGACCAATGTTCCCATGGATGAGTCGCGACTCGTCGAGATTCGCTGGTCTTCTGTGTTGGGGGGGCTTGTTCAGGTTAGGGCCAAAAGTCTTTGCCTTGCTTATTCATGCATCTGCTGAAGGCAGCACTTGAGGAAAAACTTTGCAGTGCCACATGATCACCGGGGATTCATGCAGTACTGTAACTACACTTCCTTTAACGTGCTCAACTAGCTCTCTCTCTCTCATGTGCTGCGCTACACTGCCTGTTGGCTCCTGTGTTGGTTGTTGTTTTGTGAGGTGGCATGAGATAGTGTGAGCGGTGGTTGCTGAAACTTCGCTGGCACGGATGACTGTGCAAATCTTTTGAGCTCAATCATGCATGACAAGCAAAGTACGCACAGACATGGTGTGTTCATAGTGTGATGTCAGGCAAATCCCTGTTTCCCTCGAGGCCCCGGAACCCGAAGCAACAATGCCCTCTCCCCGTAGACCGCTAAAAACCTAGACCGCATGTCCCAGGGACCCCGATGGCTCGATGGCAGCATTTAGATTGCCTGGGGGTGGGTGGGGGTTAAGAAGTTGGGTTGATATCAGGTCAAGGGCGTCAAGGTGAGTTTGCCCACTTCCGACAACTCTACATTCATGTGTTGTCCAGCGGCCTGTGCTGGTGCTGAGCGCTCCAAGGATGATCTGCGGTTCAAAAGGCACCCCGAGGGATGGCACCCGTAAGGCGCAGGTAACGGGTCAGATGTGCCTTGAATCATCTCGCCCAATCGAATCGCCCATTCAGATCAGTCAGCTCAGCCGATTGAATCGTCGCCCTAGCCGGTTACCCACACAGGAGGTCGTCCACTGTCGGTGGGCACTGGAGGGGTCTGGCGGGGATGCTGTTTTAGACTAGGCAAGCAAAGACTATTTTGCGCAAGAGCAAAGAAAAAAACCATGGATTTGAAAGCTTGCAATTCCGCACGCCTTGGTCGACCAAAGGCTATGGTTTGCTGTACTGCTGGTGAAGAAATTTCTAGCATATCGAGAAGATTTTGGTGTTTATTCCCTTGAGGCTGGATAAGGCCTGTCGTATGGTGCGGTATGCGTAGATAACGTGGCCGGATTCGTGGTGTCCCTGCACGGAGTGGTTCGTCCAACTATCCCGAATTGTTCGAGGTTCGCGATCTGGGCTCCTGGAATCCGGCCTAGGGCCTTGGGTCATTGTCCTGGGCCTGCCACCCCAAAGGCTGTGGGCAGTGTCCAGAGCTTGTGCCATTTATCGGCTTAGCCTTGGGGCTATGGAGTTGAAGTGAGGTTGTTTGGGGGGCTGGGGTTGAGGCTGTAGGCAATCTTGGAAGTAGTTTGTGAGGCTAAATTGCATGAGATTTTGGTATTGTGGCCGGCGTCCCGCGCCATTCCTCTCTTCGGTTGGGGTGTGGAGTTGGCAGCGAAGTGCCATGGCACTGTCCGCATTGCCGCAGAATCTGCTAGGTGCATTCTCTGGCACAGAGGGCTAGGTTTTCGTGTCGGGGTCACCTATACCGTGCGATTCAGCGAATCCTCCGTTGCAGCTGTTCAGATCAGATCCGCTCTGTAGCTTGAGAGATACTTACGCGTTTGTACTTTTACTATCCTGCCCGCCGACTTCCCAATGTTCGGATTCTTGGGAGCATTGGGGGAGCAAGTTTGGATTTTTTCTTCCGGTGCATCATGCGTGCATGTCACGATTGACTCGATTAAGTTCCATGACAAATACGGCCCTGAGCCCCATGTGAGCACAAGCCTAGGGTTTGAAAATGGTTGTTGAATAACCATGTGGACCTACAGATTGGCTTTGATATAAAGATCCGCGTGTGACATAACAGGAGAGGCGCTGAGAACAGGAAACGCATGGTGCGAGGGCTTTTTGTTGCGAGCGAAGGTGCTTTCATAGCCCTGTTCCTGCCAGACTTCTGCGCTAGGATGCTGCTTGAATTTTTCGCCGAGGGAGAATGAGATCGTGAAGACTTGTTGTATTTCATCGTCCCGAAAGCCTACCCATAGGCTGATGGTTCTTTTTTCGTATTTTTTCTGTTTTTTTTTCGTATTTTTTATGGTTTCAGGTGAACCCTAAACCCTAAACCCTAAACCCTAAACCCTAAACCCTAAACCCTAAACCCTAAACCCTAAACCCTAAACCCTAAACCCTAAACCCTAAACCCTAAACCCTAAACCCTAAACCTAAACCCTAAACCCTAACCCTACCCTAACCCTAACCCTAAACCCTAAACCCTAAACCCTAAACCTAAACCCTAAACCCCCCCTAAACCCTAAACCCTAAACCCTAAACCCTAAACCCTAAACCCTAAACCCTAAACCCTAAACCCTAAACCCTAAACCCTAAACCCTAAACCCTAAACCCTAAACCCTAAACCCTAAACCCTAAACCCAAGACCATGAAAATACGAAAAAAAAACCAGAAAAAACACGAAAAAAAAACCTGGACCCCTACCCATATGTAAGAAACAATCAGGCCCAAGGGGAAGTGCCGAGCTTCTCGCTGTGTTGCATCAAGTTCGGGAAAGTTTCGGACATGTCCCCGTGGCCATTCCGGTGAAATTTGTAGGCCCATTGTTTGGCAGTGGTGCCGACCCACAATGAGGGTGGCAGTTTAAACCTCAGAGCCCAGGGATTACACGCGCCGTGGCCGCCTTCCTCCCGCTGGCGGCCGCTGCGCTGCGAGACCCGCGGAAGGTGGCGGTGGAGTTCAGACCAGGCCCTGGCATGCCAAAAGGTCGAGGTTTCAGGGTCTTCTAAGGGTTCGGGGTTTAAGGGGTCGGGTTATCGAGGCGGGCGAAGTCTCCTTGAAAAAGGGTCGAGTTCTAGTAGTGAGCTCCTGCTCCCAGCTGCTGAGGACGAGTCTGGCTTCAAAAGGGGGCCAGGGCTGATAGGAGCTTGGGGGTCAGGCTCAATTTCTAGCACGTATCATTGCAGCGTGGTTCCTCTTTGTGTGGGTTTAAGACGTCTACGGTCTTTTGGCATTGTTCTGCAGAATCCTGCAAAACCCCAAGCAACCTTTCCTCCTCCTCCTCCTCAACCTAGCAGCCTCGACCTCGCGTATTCCCAAACCTCCAACCTCCAACATGGCCGACATTCAAAAGCTCAGCCCCGCAAAAGGCCGACACTCAAAAGTAGGAAACAACCTTGAACCTAAAGCCCAAAAACACAACCCTAGAACCCCCCAGCCCTTCAACCCTGAACTCCTTTTCCAGACACCGGGTCCACAGAAGAGCACGGCACTCAGACGGGCGAAAGGGTCGCCCTGGCCCCGGATGCTTGGATGCCTTGAGCCATTTCGGGCCTTTGGGCACGCGATTCGTGCTCCATACCTGCTGTACGACACTCAACGCGAGCTTTCGAATTTCGGAGGTGAAGCAAGACATCGGAAACACCAGGTTTAGGGAAGAAAAGGGCTGATGCAGAACATGACAGAACTAGAGAGGAGCCCCGAAAATGTTGGGGGGTTGCGGATGGGGGCGAGGGGTTGCAGCCTTCCGCAGCCCCTACGGTTTTTTCAGAGGGGTCTCACCGACGTACTATCGGTGAACCTCGTTATGACGGCCCCAGAGACTCGCCCGCAATCCTTTGGCTTATAAAAAACCCGCCGCCACCTTTTTCAGACGAAACTTTGAACTATAAGCCCACCGCGATGACAGCACTGAGAGCGTTGGCTCCAAAATAGACCCTTTGAAAAAGAATTGCCGAGGACTCGCCCGAGTCGTTGGACGTAGCCGGCTTCTTGCCCCTGTGCTCAGAGGAGATTGTGGAGGACACCTGCCTCTGAGCTGCCGTGAGAAGTTCTTGGGTTGTTCCACAAAGGTTTCAAGGGTTCGGGTGTTGGCATTGAGGGTATTTTCGACATTTCGCTGGGGGCGAGGTTTGTGGAGGCCCCTCTCGCGAAGAAGCTTGAAGGCGGAATTGACCTGAGTGCTTGGCTTGACGACAAGCCCTGAGTGATGTGCCTTTGGGTATTCCGGGCACACAAAATTTCCCGAAGCCCCATACACCCCTAGAAGTTAACCCCAGAAGCCCTGTAGAGCCCTTAGAAAAGCGCGACATAAAGCCCTAGCCCCAGGTCTCCTTCTCAACGCCGACGAGAAGCATGCGGATGGTGACGACTGGACCACCTCGGAGCAGCTAGAAGAGCAGCCTGCCCGAAGTACCTGGCTGTAGGGCTTGCTTTCCACTACGGGCCTTGGGGCCGTCGGGCCCATCCACATCTACATCTATACCATCCACATCTGCTCCCCTTGCTATGTCAATTGTCAAAAAGCCCCCGAATCTGAGCAACTTGGGTAGGAGCCCGGCACTGCGCCGGGCGCCCATGCCCCTCTGCTTTGTTGAGAAGAAAGGCAGCTTGCCAGCTACAAGGGTGGCATGGCGGAGCTTCCTGGATCTGCCTTGAGAGAGAGGGTTTAGGGTTTAGGGTTTAGGGTTTAGGGTGAGTCAGCTTTTCTTATGGGGTTTGGGCATGGGGCTTAGGGCTTCGGAGTTGGGGTTAAGCTTCATTTTGGCGGCATCTGCGGGGCTGGGCGCGTCGCAGTTTACCAAAACTGATTGGGGAAGAGTCAAGGTTTGAGTCAGTTGACCTCAACAGATGTGATTGACCTCAACAAACTATGATCTCGTTGGAAATTGTTTTGTTTTTGTAAGCCCAAGCGAATATATTCAACCTAGTCTTTTGTGTTAAGGGGTTTTACAGCAATAGCCTAAGACACAGGTATACACAGGTCATCTGACACTCAGTCAGTCGCCTCCGGCCGAGCCTCCATGTCAGCCTGGGTAAAGTCAAGAACCCGAAATCCTACATCAACATCTCATCGTAACTCTTAACAGCTTCGGACCTTGAACCGACGAAGCTGCCAAAGTCCTGCAATGTTTTAAAGGTTCTGGGAGGCACTCGGCGTCCCTCAGAACAAGAAGACGGAGAACGGCGAGGATTTTTGGGTAGAGTGCCATCAGCTCTGCGAGGCGGGAGGGTAGCGGTAAGCTTCGTAATCACCAATACAAAAACTCATACATGTAATGATTGTTTTTTAAATGGTTATGTAATATGGTAGCAAACTAGTGTTTTTTGCAATTGCCTAAGACCACAATGCGTTGACAATACAAGCGTCGGGAAAGTATACACACATAAAACTCAGCATCACGGTATAAGAATAACCATAAAAAGACATTAGTATGGCAATGGAACAATATTATATACATATAATCGTATAAATGTTCAGGATTATATAAAACAATACGACAAGAAAACATATTATTCATAAGATAATACAATAATGTATAAAACCTTAATATACCAAGGTAGAAACATAACACTTGTTATATGGTTTTACAAGAATGTTGAATATGATACACATGATATGATCATTGATAATTCAAATTTCAGTATATGCCATTCCAGTCATATAAAAATTGTATTCATACAATCTACAGTCATATAATCGTGTAATAATGTTGTAGTAGAACAATAGAACAGCACAAGTATCACACTGCATTAATATAACAGTATAAGAATATAAGAACATAATTGTAGAAGGCGTTTGGACACAGGCTCCATGATTTCAGCATTGCACCGGATGTGCGTATGTATGCGGCGCGTGCTCTGGCAATGCACAAGACAGGCTGTGGTGAGCTATGTGAAGAATGTGGCAATATGCCCACCAGCAAGTGGCTGAGCAGTTCCATTGGCAATGACAGTTTTACGATAAAATCCCTCAAACAGCCTGAAGCCATGGGGTTTGGGGCCAACATATCCTAGGCCCGAAGCCCTTGAGAACGTGTTCTTTTTGCAGAAGCAAGACACATGCCAAGCAGGCATAAGTAAGCATGGCAACTGACTGGGCAGTTTCTAAGGCGACATTTCCTGCTACAGCATTGGGGGGGAGTCGTACTGCGACCTCGACGTCCGGCCATCGATTTTGAAGCAGCAGGGGCCAACAGTGGACAAGGACATGCCGGACTTCGGCGACAAGGCCCTTCGAGCAGTCCTAAACTCCGAGCCCCAAGGAGACCTCAAGCCCGAGATTGCCCAGAACCCTAGTACAATGTAAATGTAAATCTATACAATCACATGACATGCATAAATGTTGTAGTTGCCCCGAGGATTTCTTGCAGCAGATTGATGACGACTCCCCGCAGCCCAAGATGAGGGGCAGAGAGCCTTGGCTCAAATTGGCTGAAGGATGCCGCGCTTGGGCTCCG